GAGGGGAGAGGAAAGGGAAAGGAAAGAGAGAGAGAGAGAGAGAGAGAAAGAGGAAAGAGAGGGAGAGGAAAGAGGCATAAAATAATTCATTTGCATTTAATTGTAATGGTTCAAAGAATGTTCGGAAAAATGTTCGGCCCTCCAGCACGTTCACTTCATCCAATCTGGCCCTCTTTGAAAAAAGTTTGGACACCCCTGGTTTAAGCAAACAATTGTTCCAGCATCCTATGGCAGAATTCATAGAAAACATTTTACAGTGTTTCAATCTTTTTTTAAAAAAACCCATCACAATTTCATTACGGTATTTGAACAATCAAGGCTTTCAATATCATCCCAAATAGATATACATTACATATCTCTGGGCAATGTTGATTAAAATGAACAAAGACATATTATCCATAGTCATTTTCTTTTTTGCCCTCTTCATACCGGTTACCAGAAAATTAGTGCAAAGATGTTTTTAAAATTTCAGTAAGAGAGAACATTTTCTTATACCCCATCAGGTATTTAAGAAAGGTGTCCTCTCCCACTTACTGGTTGGTTCCTAAGAAGGCAGGAATTTGAAGGCTAGAGAAGATACTCTCTAGATTTTCCTATCTGTCTAATTAGAATAATCAAGTTATGAATACCATGTAGTTTCTGTAAAGTCTGGCCAAGCCACGACATACTTACCCAATTGATGTCATGATGGCCTCTGTCACCATCACACGCTCCTGCGTCAGAGATTCGGCCTCTTTCACTGCAAGACAATAGAAACATTTATGAGGTTACCTAGTTTGGTAATGAAACGTCTGCAAGAAAACCACCAAGCTCAGAGAGCAACAAGGACCCCACAGTCCTCCTCCTCCTCCTCCTCCTCCTCCTCCTTCTCCTCCTCCTCCTCCATCACATCTGCAAGAAAACAACCAATCTCAGAGAGCACAAGAACCTCACAGTCCTCCTCCTCCTCCTTCTTCCTGCAAATCCATAGACAGACAGACAGACAGACAGACAGACAGACAGACAGATAATAGACAGTCAAACTTACCATCCAAAACTTCCAAGGAAGCACTGCAGATAGACTGACCAGCCTGATTGGAGGCAATACAGGTATAGTTTCCACTATAGGTCTTTTCCACATCCAATAAGATCAGGCTGTGCTGCATATTGGAACTGGCCAGTTTATAACCTGGGGTGTCCGACTTGATCCATAGGATGTCTTCGCCATGAAATTCTTCCTTCAACCATGTTACTGAGGGCGATGGAGTCCCTAAAAAAAAACAAAGAAAAAAAAAACAGTGAGGTTGTTATAGAAAAACTTTTTGGGGGGGGGGGGGTGAAATGTTGATATATACTGACAAAATAACAAGAATTAGAATAATGACGTCAGTACAGGTAGTCCTCGACCTACAACAGTTCATTTAGTGACCATTTGAAGTTACAGCAGCACTGAAAAAAATGACTTACGATTCATTTTTACATCTCCATGGTCAAATGATCAAAATTCAGACACTTGGCTCATAGTTATGACGGAGTTATGTCATACCCTTTTGCGACCTTCTGACAAGCAAAAACAATGGGGAAGCCAGATTCACTTAACAACGGTATGACTAACTTAACAGCTGCAACACTTCACTTAACAACTGTGGAAAGAAACTTACTTGCCTCCAATGGGGCAAAACACACTTTACAACTGTCTCGTTTAGCAACATAAATTTTGGGCTTAATCGTGGTTGTAAGTTGAAGTCTATCTGTATCACACTTGTTGTTTTACAAACGAACTGAGAAGTACAGCTTCTCAGTTTGACTTACAATGGTTCATTTAGTGACCATTCAAAGCTACAATGGCACTGAAAAAAGTGACTTATGAACCATTTTCACTTATGACCATTGCAGAATCTCCCATGGTCACGTGATCAAAATTCAGACATTTCGCAACTGATTCATATTGCAATGTCCCAGGATCACGTGATCCCCTTCTGTGACTTTCTGACAAACAAAGTCAGTGGGAAAGCCAGATTCACTTAACAACCATGTGATTAATTTAACACTGAACAGCTGTGGGAAGAAAGGTCATAAAATGGGGCAAAAGTCACTGGAAGAAAGGTCATAGAATGGGGCAAAAGTCACTTAAACAAATGTCTCGCTCAGCAAAGGAAATTTTGGGCTCAGTCATGGTCATAAGTCCAGGACTGCCTGGTAGTCAAAAGGAGTGGGTGGGATGTCCTTGAAGCTTATTTACCTTCCACTTTCACTGAAAGGGTGATGCTGACCCCTCTCCTCACTTTCTTATTGGTAAATCTTTCCAGGAATCTTGGTGGCACCAGCTGTTCATAAATGTCTGAAAATTAAAATAACAGAAAATATCTGTATATGAAAACAAGACGAATTGAGAGAGAGTAAAAAAAATACACCCCCCACTCCCAGCTCAGACTAAGCTTGCTTGATTTTGCATGGACCAAGCATCCAAACTGCCTTGATTTGGACAAAGCAATCCTCAAGCAAAGCCATACGGAACTTCAGCCCCAGTTTACTTTGATATCTTATGTCTTTCATTCTCTTACCTGCTTCTGGTTTTCTGTCCTCACCAACTCCTGCAGAAGATAAAAAAAGAGTGGGCTGAATTATTTCATTACCTTTGTCTCTCTCTCTCTGTGTATGTTTGTTTCTGTTTCGCTCTCACTGTTTCTCTCTCTCAACTATCTATCTACCTACCCAACCATTCATCTATCCCTCTATCTATCATCTCCCCCTCTGTTCTATCTATCCTGTCTGTCTGTCTGTCTGTCTGTCTGTCTGTCTGTCTGTCTGTCTGTCTGTCTGTCTGTCTTTCTGTCTGTCTGTCTGTCTATCTATCCATCTATCCCCCTCTCTCATCTATTTCTATTTATCTATCATCCATATAGCTTTCATCTGTCTACCTATCTGCCATCTATATACCATCCATCCATCCATCCATCCATCCATCCATCCATCCATCCATCCATCCATCCATCCATCCATCCATCCATCCATCCATCCATCCATCTATCTATCTATCTATCTATCTATCTATCTATCTATCTATCTATCTATCTATCTATCATTTTCACATTACTGATAGCTTGCCCAGATGCTAGGCAAGATACAATAGTCTAGAGGTTTCTGGTTCCGGACGCAACGCCTTCAGACGCGTAGGGGGAAGCTGCTCCCTGCCGTCTGTTTTCCCTTCATTGGAAGACCCTGGAAAGGGTCAAAAGTCGCCCTGGAGGTGCGACCACCATTGGGGAGGAAGCTTGCAAGATCGCGGAAGGGCGGCAGCCCTTCCGTTTGATCTGAGGCAGCTCCCTAGGACCGACAAAGAAAAGATTGGCCATTAACATAGCCGATCACTTAGTCGCACCAGCCGAAAGTCCCAATAACAGCTAAGCATATGAAGCAGGAGTAGAGGATTTGGGTGAGATCCTTTGGGGAAAGAACAGCTTGGAAAGAAAACGAAAGAACTACTAACTTCAACAATTAAATAATTGGATCTTTGTTTTGTGGATACCTTGGGGGCCCAAAACTTTTTATTATACATACTTAGCATTCTTTTTAACTTCTTTAACTATTAACTTTGCAAAATATCAGCTTTTCTGTGTTTTTAACTGAATTAGAGGCTATTCGGCATTTGGGAAAAGATTTTGTGGTCTGCTGGGGACATCTTGTGGCAAAATTTGGCATAGTAACTGGAATTCTTTTCTTCAATGGTGTTTGTGGACTACTTGGATTTGTCCTTCATACTATCAAAAAAGATAAGATGTAGAAACAGCTGTGGTGACAATAATTCCTACAAATTGTGGAGGTGGACAATAGCTGAGTCTTACTAAACATAGCCTCCACTAAAGGACTATCTTTAATCACCATGGAAATGGACAAATCCTATCCACAATGTAATTACAAACTTATCCTTGAAAAAATTTGTGAAGCAACAGAATTAATCATCTCAGGAGTGAAAGCCAAAGACATTTTTATAAAACTACAAATTGAACCTCAGACGCAAACTGATCAACCTATAACCCAAAAAATAACAGAAGATGAACTAACTCCAAAAGCAGAGAATTTAGACATTTTAGATAACCAAACAACAACAACACCGGATATGACTCTCTATTCTACTCAGATGAAATTGCAAGAAGAAGAAGAGGACCAGACTACTGAATCGATTATAAATACCCTAAACCAAACATGGAGATTTGAATCATTAGGGCAACAACTTAACAATTACAAAGGGGCCAGTTCCTTTGAAAGACTGATAACTGGACGTTCTCCCTTGATTCAAACAACAGGTGTAGGAATGAAGGGAGATACATCCGAGGTTTTAGAGGCACTGGCATGGAAACCTACTTGGCACAAAAGGAAAGCCAGAGTTAGATTTAAAAATGGGATTTAGAAATCTACTTAATGGTTAATGCAGCGTCTTAGAGATAATGTTTTTTTTTAATATTTAGCACTTAGATTTATAATGGGAGTTAAAATTAACTGTTAGACTATAATTTTAATTGTTATATGGAAATAGATTTGTGATAATGAAAGATATTTTGTTATTAAAGGAGGAGTTATTAGAATGAGAATCAGAATATATTTATCTATAAAGAAGGCAAATTTTGAAATAATATGTGTATTTTAGTTATGTTAATTATATTATAATGAAATGAGGGAAATCAAGGTTATCTGAAGCTTAAACATTGGTTATAAAAGGCTAAATTGGAATATATAAATTGGAATTAAATAAAACCTTTAAACAGGACTTGGATATATATAAGTAAAATACTATTGATAAATATACTGATTGATTGAATCTACTTAGAAACTTATTAACATGAATATGATACAATATTTGAGGGAAACAGTGAGGGAATGTTATTGACGTAACCTGAGATATATATGAATGATTTTGTTATTGACTGGTTTCCCTAGCACCATGCTGCTTCCTAAGTATCTGGATGTTAAAATTTGAAAAATTAATAAAACTTGTTTAAAAAAAAGATACAATAGTCTAAAAGAATATATCATTGCCTGTGTTTGTTTGTGTGTACATAAATCAACAGAGGGAAAATAAACAATATCCAAGGTATCATTCCTTAACCAAATGACAACTTCCTGCTAGAACAATATTGCTTTAACCAGTCTCTGAAACACCTATTAAAGAAGTTGGGGATTTTTTCCCCCAAAAGACACTATAATATGAAAAAATCCGGACTCTGTAGTTCTGCAGGGCAGGTATGGCCTATCAAGGAATAGCACTAACAACCATTTCAGCCTGCTCACCTTTGACTACGAGCTTGGCTGCTGAATATGCAGACCCAGCAGAGTTGGTGATGAAGACAGAATACTGGCCATCATCCTCTTTGGTGACCTGGAGAACTTCCAGAGCATGAAACTCATGGCTGTCTGTCCTTTGGAGACGATCGCTTGTGTGTAAAGGCTGACCGTCTTTGAACCAGTAGAGACGGGGCTCGGGGAAACCTAGGCGGACATACAACAAACATAGAGAGAAATGTATGAGTTATAAGACTAAACGAGGGATCCATCACTGCCCACTTACCACCCCATTCAGCTATTTGGCTAGTCATAGTGTGCCACTAACTCTCTTCAATCATTCAATGCTGAGAATCAGAGATTTATTGCGAATGAAGGCAAATAAACTTGTCCCAGGATAATGTTGCAGGATCCAAACTGGGTCGGTCACCAGGACCAGAAGTTTTGTCTTCTGAGCTTTTGGACTCATGCTGGAGCCCATCTTCGGGAACTTCTCTCTAGCAGAGTGTGTGCTTTGAGCTATTCTATGTGTGATATTTACATGGTGCTTGTTATGTGTGGCTTTTTAGTTGTTGATTGGGGATTTGATGTCTGTCTATTAAGTTGTTGACTGAAGCTTCCAGTTAGGCATCGCGGCATGATGAGCGCAGGAAGATGGGGCTTCATCTTCCACATTCGATTTTGCCCCACTGGGGACCCTAAAAAGAGTCGAAAGTCGCCCCGGAGAGGCAACAAAGAAGGAGGGGACCCTCATTGATTGCAGAGGGGCAGTGGCCCTTGCACTGGATCCAAGGAAGCCCTCCAAACTGGTGGGGGAAAGACTGGCTACATTCGTATGGCCAGTCAGAAGCTGCTGACAATCAAAGATGAGTACTAACTAGCATATTTTGAGCAACATGGATGGAACTGGGTGAGACTTTATCCTCTTTTTATGATCTTTTTCCTGGAAAAAAGAATGCCTAAAGCAAAGAATTCTCCCCGATGAGAGAGGGAAGGGAAGTTCTTGCCCCATTCCCTCAGGAAAAGAAAAGTGGCAAATTAATTGCTTTGGGGAAAATAGAGAAAACTACAAGATCAACTTGGAATTAATACAGGTATATAGCTTTGAAATTTGGGGACTAAAAATACCTTTGAGACTTTTTTTTTAGAAAAGATATTTGAAAGTCTGTAAAATAGGCTTGGATTTGGAAATCTGGAATATGGTGTCAATGACATCTAGTGGCAAATCACGGCACTACAATTTATTATGCTTAAAGGAACTTGGCTTGAAGCCCAGACTTAGATAAGACTCTTTGTTGTTCCTGGAAACTTTCACTTTTACAGATTGCAGCTGGGAAAAGGGAAAAAAACTCTTGGGCTGCTTATCTGTGTTGGGGAGCCTATTGGACTATAAAGACCACATACAAAAACAAAATGGGTGTTCCATACTTAGCTGCAAATGGTAAAAAACCATCTTTAACTCTTGTCTCCAAAGCCCCCAGCTTGATATACCAGCAAGAAAATATTACTGAATCTCAGAAAGAAATTCTTTCTATGTTGAAATCAATCCAAGAGACAATTTTTTTGTTTCATGATGAGACTAAAAATAACACAAATGAGATAAAAGAACAATTTTCTAATTACAAATCCAGACAATGACTACAAAGAAGGAACTAGTAACCCAGAAAACAGAAGGCAAATTAGAAAAAATGGATCCAAAGATGGAGGACCTAAAGGAAGGAATTAACAGACAGATACAGACAAATTAGAAGACGCAGTGATAACACCGGAAATGGAAAAGATATCTTACTTGTCAAGATCTCAGAATGCATTTGAGGATAAGGAAGAAGAGCTGATCGAATGGATGATAAAAGGAAAAATGCTGAATATTGACAAACAAGAAATAAAAAGAAAAACTGAAGGAGAAGGATGGAGGCTAATGAATATAAATGGGTTGAGTGTTCTTCCAAAAATACTTCAATCAAATTCTCTTCCTCATTCCAAACAATATATACAAAAACAGAGGAAGAATTACTTGATAATTCAAATGAACTGACTTGGAAAGTTATTTGGCAAAGGAAGAAAGCTAGAATAAGACTGAAGAAAATAGAGATCTTGACCTATTAGATGGGATATTATACTATTAAACAGATGTTTGAATATGGTTGAGAAAATAGATAACTGTTAGAAATAAAAGTATTATTATAATTAGAAAGATAGAATTTGTAACTAGAATATTATAATTTGCTATGAGATGGGAAATATGAAAATTTTAAAAGAGTTTGAATAAGGGAAGCTTTTGGTTACCCAAATATAATTTATTATGAGAAAATTATAAGCGATAGAGATATTTTGAACATTGATGGGAAATTAAAAATTTTAAAAAGTGGGAAAAACAGGATATTGATTGAACAAATAGATTTTAAGTGCAAATGCAATTGAGATATGTTCTGGCTAGAAAAGATATTATAAACTGACACTATGGATATTATGTATAATACCAGAAAAAATGTGATGAAGATGTCTATATTTAATTGTATACGTATTAACAGTAACAAGGATTGTATTTGCCCAGTGTGGAAAAATGCATACCACTGGAAGAAGAGAGGACCAAGGAAGCACTGGATGGTATAATATTGGAACTAGAGTGAGAAAGTTAATATGTACCACTCAATTACCAATAGACCCAGACAACGCTTTTTTTATTAAGTACTCATGATTGTAAAATTAGAAAATTAATAAAATATTTACATATTAAAAAAAGTTGTTGGCTATTCTTTCCTTGTGCTGCCAAGTCCTCATCTCCTAAATACTTAGTAAGCAGGTGGTAAATCAGCACTCCTGTTGACTGACGAGGGGTCCATCTCCCAGGTTTCAGTTACTTCCTTGGCTTTTTTTGTGCCTACTTGTCCAACAATCTTAGTAGCTACAAAATTCAATGTATGTCCTTCTTCATTGCAATGTGAGGCTACCAATGAATTTGATCTCCTTGCCTGACCATTCACTTCTATTTTTGCAGTCTGGTGGTTAGCCTCCTCCCCGTCTGTCCTACATAGTCAGAGGAACAATTGATGTAGGGAAGGTTTCTCGAGTCAGAATTTGCCAGTCATTGGTGAAGGATTTCCTGCCTAAAGTAGGACTAGAACTCATGGTCTCCCATTTCTAGGCTGGTGCCTTCCCCAAACCTATTGCAATGCAAGCTCCACCCCTTTTGTACATGCATTTTAATGTTGGTTGTATACAAAGGAGTGGAACCTGCATCACAATAATGAAATAATGAATAATAAATTTTCAGAATAAGGAAATTCTGTTTTGGTCATTTTGAAAAAAAGTGCTTAATGCTGCAATGCCTCTGAATCCTGAGCACACAGTGGCTGGAACTGACCCCAGAACTCAAGGTGGAGTGAGATGAAACCACAGTCAAGTGGAACAATTGAAACCCCCAATGTCAGGATAATGTACTACCTGAACAACTCCAAAAACCAGCTTGAAAGAAGAGATCGTATGAATGGGATCTACCCCAGGCCGTGAAGGCATTGAGTGGGTGAATTGGAATATCTATTACCTTTCACTTTTAAATGGAATTTGGCAACAGGGGCTCCAGGTGCCACGTGAATATCGTGAAGTTCATCCATGATTTGAGGCAACTGTTCTTCTTCGGTTGTCGACTCCACGCCTTCTTGTTCCCGGCTGGTTCAAGAGATGGTGGGAAAGAAAGGGAAGAGAAAATGAATGATTGACATGCAAAGCCCACTCCCAAATATACTTAGAACATAGAATAATAGGGTTGGAAGGGACCTTGAAGATCTTCTAGTCCAGTAGTGGAGAACCTATGGCACATGTGCCAGAGGCGGCACTCAGAGCCCTCTCTGTGGGCACACGCGCCGTCGCCCCAGCAGAGTTCGCCAGAGTAGCAAGCACATGGCATTTGAAAGTGACAGGGCAGGAAGTGAGTGATCAGGTGACATTGCCCCAGAGGGATGCCCCAGAGATGACGAGGGACTGGCCCCCACCAACCTAGCTCCAGCCCCACCCAGCCTGGCAGCCCCCAAGGCACAAGCACAGGAGTTGGTGAGCACACAGGGTCTGACAGCTTCTAGCAGCAGGGGCTGGTCATCTCCTCAGCCCCCTCAAGGGTCTTGCCCTTGGCCCGTGGGTGGAGCGCATTCCCCTCACTCACCTTGATACCTACCGCAGCCGCCAGCCACTCACGCAGGTCAATTAGGCCACTGCCCAGAACTGCAGTGAGATGGTAGAGCACATCCAGGGCCAGCAGGCAAAAGGCCACCCCGAGCGGGGAAAGCCGGATCCCCATCGCCATCATGGCCATCCAGGCTCAGCAGAGATGGGGTGGATTGGGGGGCTATGGCACTGATGGGGATCCAGTTTTCCCTGCTTGGGGTGGCCTTTGGCTTGCTGGGCATGGGCGTGCTCTACCACCTTTACTCGAGCTTGCTAGCCAGCCATTTCACCTACTTTGTGCTGGGCAGGGCAGGCGTTCCGGGTGGCGGTGGCAACCTAATGGACCTGCGCGAGCTGCTGGTGGCAGTAGCCCGAGGTGGCCCAAGGTGCGTTAGGTGTGTGAGGGGAACAGATCTACGTACGGGCCAAGGGCAAGATCTGCGAGCGGGCCGGTAGATGACCAGCAGCGACCTGCTCTCCAACCGCAAGCAAAAACAGATGGGACAGAGTAGGCGTGTCCGGCAGTCTGCATCACATGCCTCCCCCCTCCCCTACTCCGCCTGCTGCTGGAGGTCTGACCCAGTATTGGCAGCGGGCTGCGGACCCCAGGGTGTGCGGGTTGAAGGGCCGGCAGGCTGTGGCTGCTGATGGACACCATCGGCCCCCATGTGCTCACTGGCCTCAGTGTGCGGAGGCCAATGGTGTCAGGCAGCAGCAGTCCCAACCCCTGCCTTGCCTTGCCCTGCGGCAATGTCATCCCGACCTGCCCCTGCCTCGCCTCACCCCGCAGGACGAGCCTCCTGCCCACACCACCCGCAGAGACTCCCTGGATCTCCCCCAACCCTGCCCAGCCCCCATAGGCGTTCCTCCCATGAGCAACATTGAGGTGGCCACGCCCACCCCAGCCACGCCCATCCCATCTGCTGTGATCACTGCAGCCACGCCCACTCAGTGGGCCACGCTCCCCACCCCCCAACGGCACCACAATGCTGATGCAGCAGAAATCTTATTCCTGATCAGAAAGAGTTATTGATCCTTTAACCTACAATATTCAGGCCACCAAATGGGTTAATCAGAACAATTCTGAGGTGCAAGATCCATTTAGTGCAAAAAAGATGTGCCACAATAAAGAAGCTGTGTCAATAATCATAGAAGCAAACTAGTCAGAGTAATAAACATACTTTCCAAAATATCATTTGATAATAGATTTCCATCCAGAGCAGTGGTTCTCAACCTTTTTAATGCTGCGACCCCAACTGGTCGTAAGTCGAGGACTAAACCGGTCGTAAGTCGAGGACTAAACCGGTCGTAAGTTGAGGACTAAACCGGTCGTAAGTCGAGGACTAAACCGGTTGTAAGTCGAGGACTACCCAACCGGTCATAAGTCGAGGACTTTCCCTGCCCGGGAGCGCCGTGCATGCGTGGTTCCGCCCCCTGTGCCGGCCGAGGCGTAGCTGGCAAGCGGCAGAGACGGAGCAGGCCGACCACCAGCTGGCCCAGCCCAAGGGAGGTAAGGCACCCGCCGGAAAAGGGGAAAAAATGGCAGACAAAAAAAAATGGTGGACAAAAAAAATGGCGGACAGCCTTGCTTGGCGATCCCCGTGAAATGGTCGATCGACCCCAAATGGGGTCCCGACCCACAGGTTGAGAACCACTGATCCAGAGTCATGTTAATATGAGATAGGTGGCAAATAAATATAATAAATAAATAATATTGCTTTTACCTGGACAGGTAACCTTTGGCGCTGTAGTATGATGAGGTCTCTGTTGCATCTCCGGCTGTATCATAGTCTGTGCTGGTTACTAATGAATGGTAAAAAGAGGATTTTAGGGGCAACCTTTCTTAATTTCAGCCACTTTAAGGTCAGTGGACTTCAACTCCCAGAATGCCATGGTCAACCTGGGAATTCTGGGAGTTGAAGTCTACCCACCTTAAAGTTGAGAAACATTGCTTTAGAGCAATACTTCCCAAAAGCAGCATAAGAGAAGGTGAATAATTGTTCAAGAATTGAGGAAGATCTGATCAGATGATTTTTAAGGGAGGTGGGAGTGAGGGAGGAAGGAAGGAAAATTAGAAGGAAGAAAATAAAATTAGAAGGAAGGAAGGAAGGAAACCATAATAAAAGGACTTTAAACATGTTTTGTTTGCTTGACTATGAGTTATTAACCTCTATTTTATTCTGCTGCCTAATGAAGTCACACAAGCAAAATACATTTCATGCATCCCAAAGTTATGCTCAACCTTTGAGCAACAGTTTCCCAGAAACCAGCTTTAAACTCACAGTCCACTCGTAGCTCAGCTTTTGTTGAAGATACCCCCATGCTGTTTTCAGCCACGCAGCGGTAGACCCCCATGTCAAGAGGGACCACCGCAGTGATGATCAGCTGATGACATCCTTCCTGGTCCTCATTGATCATGTAGTGGTCATCCTCTTCAAGAACACGGCCATCTTTAAACCACCGGACAGTCGGCATCGGCTTGCCAATCACCACACAATCGAAACTGACTGGATAACCATCCTGCACTTCTTGATTTTGAAGTTCAGTGATGAAGATTGGAGCTAGAATGAATAAAGAACAATAAGAGCACACGTCTCCTTCTCCTCCTCTCCGCAAACCTCACTCCCTTCTAACACTGATGGTGTTCTTTAGCTGGGTCATGAAATGTCTGTAAGAAAACAACCAAGCTCAGAAAGAACCAAGGACCCCAGAATTCTCCTTCTCCTCTTCCCCCTCATTTTTCTCCTTCTTGTCTATCTTCTGCTCCTTCACCTTCTTCTTCTTCTTTACCTTTTAATCCAACTTCCTGCTCAAGGAGTCCCTATACCACTTCAGACAAATGGCTGTCCTGTCTCTTCTTGAAAACCTCCAATGATGGAGCATCAACAACCTCTGAAGGCAAGCTGTTCCACTGAGTAATTGTTCTCACAGTCAGGAAATTTCTCTTTAGTTCTAGGTTGCTTCTCTCGTTGGTTAGTTTCCATCCATTATTTCTTGTCCTGCCTTCGGGTACTTTGGAGAATAGGTTGACCCCTTCCTCTCTGTGACATCCCCTCAAGTATTGGAAGATTGCTATCATATCACTCTTAGTCCTTCTCTTCATTAGAGTAGACGTACCTAGTTTCCTCAATCATTCATCATATGTGATCTTTGTTGCTCTTTTCTGCACTCTTTCTATGGTCTTGTCACCTTTTTTGTATCGTGGTGACCAGAACTGGACACGGTATTCCAAATATGATCTCACCAGGGCAGTGTAAAGACATACTAACACTTCACCTTAAACTGATTTATTGGTACACATGCCTATACACAGGAATCTTCTCAACTAACAGCACCTGCTAGGAGTTAGATAAGGATCAATGGAATTCCAGGGAGATTGGACTTAGTTCACTTGTGACTATATAGGAATTCTAGGCTGATGCCTCTTTTGGCACCACCCCCAGGTCCTGCCACTACTCCTTCTACAAAATCTTTTGTACTTACCAGTATCAGAGGTCAGCAAAGTAGGTGGTGGCCGTTGAACCAAAGTCCGCAACTGTCCCGCAGGAGGTGAAGTGGCTTTCCCAATACGCAACTCTATCTTTTTAGGGCCTTGATCCAAAATGTCAATCTCAACAGGAATACCCATAGCAGCAAACATCTCCCGAAACCGGCCTGCAGCTGTTTTGGCCTCCGTGTGAACTTCAAACTTGATGTAGATGTAGCGTTCGTCTTCCCGGTAGGTCTGATGATCTACCACCTCAATCTCTCCTTCGTCTGCGCTGACAAACAGTTCCTCTTCGACGTCGGAGATCTCAGGCGAAATTTTGGACTTGAACAACTTGTGAAGTCTCCGTCCGGCTTTACGGAAAGCATCGTCCAATTCGCTGCCAGATGAGCTCTCTGATTCGCTGTCAGGAAGCTTCTTGGTGGCTTTTGGCTTGCGAGAAGGTGCTTGGAGTTGGATGGTCACCTTGGCACTGTGGGAGACCTTGCCGAATTTATTGGAGGCTTCGCAGGTATACTTGCCCGTGTCATTCGTTTCTAAACCGGCAATGATCAAGGAGCAAGTCCCGTCACTGTAATTGTCTATGTGATAATGCCGTCCATCCTTAATTTCATTCCCATCTTTCAGCCAACTGACTTTCATGTCTGTTTTGCTGTGGGCCATACACTCCAGATGGAGGGTGTCTCCCACCTTGCCGACAAAGTCCTTGAAGGTCTCAGCAAAGACTGGACGTTCCTGCTGTTTGATTTCCTTCCTCACTTTGTAACCTTTGAAGGCAGCTTGGATTTTGACGGCAGCTTGAGACATGGAAGGATCTTCCAAGTCTCCTTCCGTAATCTCCATTTCGGCTGACTCCACAGGAGGAGGCGGTTCCTCACCAGACTTCTGCTGATCTTGAGGGACTTTCTCTACGACTTTGCGACTGATGCTCACCGTAGATGACCCAGCCTTCTTAAGGTAGGTGATTAATGAAGGTGTCCCGGCTCTGGATTCATCATCTGAACTTGTGACGGATAAATCTGCTTCTCCAACTTTTGCAGATTCATCGCAAGTAGAATATTCCTCGGAATAGTATTGGGTTATCTCCACCTCCTCCTTCTTCCGTTTCTGAAGCTTGTCGTCTTCTTCAGGCAGTTCGCTGATCGAATCCAAGGTCGGCTCGCGACTCATCCTCCGCTTCTTGGCCAGAGCTTCCCACAGAAGATGGAGGTCCCCTTCCTGAGCAGCTTCGGGTGGCAAGCTGGGCTGGACCTCTTCATCTGCTACCTTGCTTGGCTCTTTAGACATTGGTTCTTCCTCAACAACTTCTTTCAGTATCAACACTGGAGAAACTAAGAAACGAAATGGTGAGATTTTTATTAGGAATTCGGGACATAGCAACTTCTAGACATAAAAAAAGAAGATCAACAGGAAAATCTTAGTTTTGGAAATCACCATTTTAGAATCAATCAATCAGTCATCAGTCAATCAATCTGGATTAATATAGTACAGGTAATCCTTGATTTATGACCACAACAAAGCCCCAATTTTCCATGGTTCTAAGCAAGGCAGTTAAGTGAGTCACACTCCATTTTAAAACCTTTTTTTTTCCATGATTCTTAAACAAATCACTGCAGTTGTTAAGTGAATCACATGGTTGTTAAGTAAATCTGGCTTCCCGCATTGACTTTGCTTGTCGGAAGCTAGCTGGGAAGGTCACCTTGGGATGCTGCAATTTGTAAAAACATACTAGTTGCCAAGTTAGAACAATTAACCAGTTAGAACAGTTAGAACAATTAACCAGTGGAACAACCTGCCTCCAGAAGCGGTGAATGCGCCAACACTGCAAGTTTTTAAGAAGAGACTGGACAGCCATTTGTCCGAGATGGTGTAGGGTTTCCTGCCTGAGCAGGGGGTTGGACTAGATGACCTCCAAGGTCCCTTCCAACTTTATCATTATTATTATTATTATTAAGTGCCCAAATTTTGATTACATAAACATGGGGATGCTGTGATGGTTGTAAGTGTGAGAACCAGTCATGTCACTTTTTTCAGTAAAGTTAGTCATTGACTTATAACTATTCATGTAATGACCATTCATGTAATGACCGTTACAACAGCACTGAAAAAAGTGATTTACAACCTGTCCTCACACTTACAACCTTTGTAGTGTCCTCATAGTCAGGAGCTCAGTATTCTGGCTCTGAGCAACCAGAGCGTATATATGACTGTTACAGCGTCCTGGGTGACGTGATCTACATTTGCGACCTTCCCAGCCAGCTTCGGATGAGCAAAATAGTGAAATAGATTCACTTAATAACATTGTAATTCATTTAACAACTGCAGTGATTTGCTTAACAACCCTGGCAAAAAAGATCTTAAAATCGGACAAGACTCACTTATAACCTCGTTGCTGAGCAACGGAATTTCTAGTCCTAGTTGTGGTTGTCTCTGCTGGTTAATGACCCAAATACAATTATATGACTTGTGGTCGTAAAATGAGGATTACCTGTAGGAATTCTAACTTACCGTCAATCGAAAGATTGGCAGAGGTTTTTATTTCAGGCGAGGCGATGCAGGTGTAGGATCCTTGATCTTCAGATTTAAAATCGTGTATGATGAGTGTCTGTGTTTTGCCTTCAGAGACGATTTCATATCGTCCTCCGGGTTGGATCGGTTCTTTCCCTTTGACCCAAATCACCTCTTCGGTCTCGCTGGACAATTCGCACTGCAACTGGGCCTTCTCTCCTTGCGTGGCAGACTGGTCAACCAAAGGCAGAGTGACTTCCACAGGTTCTAAAATTCAACACACAAAAACCAATTTACAGGTAGTCCTTGACTTGCAACCATTTGTTTAGTGACCATTCAAAGTTACAATAGCACTGAAAAAGTGACATGTGACTGTTTTTCATATCTATGACCATTGCAGCATCCCCAGAGTCATGTGATCAAAATTCAGGCGTTGGCATCTGGTCCGTATCTTTGACTGTTGTCGCATACAAGGAAGGTGTAAGAGGATATATATACATATGTGTATTTATGTATGTGTGTGTGTATATGTATACATATGAATTGAATTACAATAGTAAAATTAATTCAAACTAAAAGAAAGAAGAATAGAAGAAAAGAGAGAAAGGTGCAAAAGATATAAAGAATAGAAAACAAAGAAAGTAAAGAAAGTAAAAGAACAGGGGAGATTGAAAATATATTTCAACCAACACAAGTATAGAATATACTCTTCACTGCTGTTACTGTTAGTAACACGGTTGTTAAGCAAATTTGGCTTCCCCATTGACTTTGCTTATGAAGAGATTGCAAAAGGGGATCACATGATCCCATGACACTGAGTTATCAGGCATCTGAATACTGATCACGTGACCATGGGGATGCTGTAACAGTGGTAACTATGAAAAATGGTCATGTCACTTTTTTCAGTGCTGTAATAATAATAATAATAATAAAATAATAAAATAATAATAATAATAATAATAATAATAATAATAATAATAATAATAATAATAATAATAATAATAATAATAATAATAATAAGAAGAAGAAGAAGAAGAAGAAGAAGAAGAAGAAGAAGAAGAAGAAGAAGAAGAAGAAGAAGAAGAAGAAGAAGAAGAAGAAGAAGAAGAAGAAGAAGAAG